CATAAATGTTTAATAACCGTGTTCAGCAAGCTCTGTGTACACGTGGTTTTTCGAACTTCTTCAGCAATTTATTGAGTAAGTACGTTCTTAAATTAAGAAAATTCTATCACAGTGCTATAATTTTTTTGTTTCCAGGTTGCAATGGCTGGCCTGTGTTTATTATGTCATCAGAAACTTGCAGAGGGTGAACTTACCCCAATTAGACCGACAGGATTGAAAGGTCTGCATCTGGTCAGCAAAGAGAGATGGGATGATTTTTCAGTTCTTTAGAACCAGGTTTTATATTGTATGAGAGGTGTCGCAAACATTACGTAGCTCGACGTTACGGAAAAGAGTTTATTTATGAAACCTGGGATAGGCATAAAAGGGCCGCGATTGACAATGCCAAAAAAAGGAGGATGGAGTATCAACCGAGAAAAAACCAGATGTTAGAGAACAAGCTTATCACCAAGTTGTAACTTACACTCAAGCTTAGGATTAATTTCCTAACATTTTTAAAGTATACCTTTTTGTATATTTTTTTGTGCTCTTTCCGATGGCGCAGTTAGTTTCTTCAAATATATTTTTTGTTTTCGGAAAACCCGGAGAAAATCATATAGGAAAAAAATTAAAAAAAATTTACGCCTTCCGGTTTCCTGCGAATTCCCGAAAAATTATGACAGATTTCGCCGCGGGACTTATTTTATTTGAGAGCCCACAAAAAAATACGCAACTTCTCTCATGGGCACATATGTCTAACATTTATAATTTCGACACAAATTCATCGCAAATTTCATGTTCATGATTCTGATCAAAGAAACGAAAAAACAACTTTTTGGTAAGAGCACTTCTGGCGGCGAGAAATTCGCCATTAAAACTACCTGTGCAATGAAATTCCGAACTATTTTTTCCTCCTCTTTCGATTGGTGCATTTATTTTTACTATCAGAATGATACTTGTTCAGATAATTAGCATTTTTACCATGGAAAATTCCGGAAAACCCGGTTTTTCCTAATTTAAAAAAAATTTAAAAACAGCTACATCATTTTTTGCTTTTTTTCGGAAAGATCACATCAAAATACACAAGATACACTTTGTTTCATCCAATTACAAATTAATGTAAGCTCGAAGGGGCTTTTTTTCGTTTTTTTAATTGGACTAAAATATTAACAAACTGTATAGTTTGTCCTGTAATTGGGTTTTTTCATGTTAGGCAATAAACAATTTTTTTTTTCATTAGTAATGACACACTCTGCTTAACACAGAATCAAGATCAAGAAACACTTCAGTTATATAATTGCCTAGCTGTCGATTCGCTCGACTGATGTTATTTGAAATTAATCAAATAAAATAACTTTGATTTGAAAGTAGATCGAAGAAAGGTGTTATTCAAATATAGATTGATGATAATCACAATCTCGAGCAGCCGTGATCGTCTAGTGGTTAGGACCCCACGTTGTGGCCGTGGTAACCCAGGTTCGAATCCTGGTCACGGCATGCGAGATTTTTTTTTTAAGGAAAATTTGATTATTTTTTATCGCCAGGAAAATAATAATAAAAAAGAAAATTTAACGCTACTAAATAAGAAATAAAAAAATTAAAAAGTTTTATTGGAATAGTAGTGAGAAGACCGCGCGCCTAAAGAAAATACTTTATTAACAGATCAATGAAAATACCACCCTAATATTAAAAAAAAAATACAGCTATGTGAGGAGGGACGCTGCCCCTCCCAGCGATATTTTTATGATTTACTGTAATGTACCAGTTAGCCCTTGCAATGCACTCACATTCACCACTAATAACACTTTTTGCATCCCCTCCTTTTAGTAGTTATAACTGATTCTTTACCGTATCATCTTTTTGTCTTCAAGGAAACTTCGTTTTAATCAACACTGATCTTTCGTGAAGATAAGAAAAATATTCACGATCGATTAGCCCTTCAATCCTATAATACAGAAACAAAGGACTCTAGAAATTTTAATTTGTTTTATAACAGATATTTTATTATGTTACGATCGCAACTAAAATACTCGGAACCAACTGCAAACCAAAGATGCAAACGTTAGTGTTCAGGGGCTGGTAACTCAAATGGAAAAACATGAGGAAGGTAATTTAGTACCATTCCAATCAACGGGATGGCGCTCGTATCGAAATGACAGGTTTTAGAGTCATTTGTCATTTTTTGTCACTTGTCAGAGAATTTAAAATTAGGCATTCCAACGACCTGTCAAACAATAGGTGCCAGTGGGAAATTCTTGTATATTTAAGGGGGTAGCGAAATAGTCTTGCAACTTGGACGCTATTTTTATTCGAAGTAGTACTCGCCAAGCCTGCCAATTTATGAAGAAATGTATAGGTGGATTTTTTAAATATTATTTTTATTGTGTTTGACATAAAATATTTAAATGTAATCCATTATTCATGTTTTTACGTAAAGTAGATAGAATACACCATATGTCGCCACCCTTAGATATACCAAACCTGCCCACTGGTAATTCATTTGTTTGGAATGCCTAATTGCTGTTACAGTTAAAGGTGCATTGGATTTTGATTCATCTAGATGGGCTTAATAAGCGGACAATAAAGCACTCACGGATATCGGTAGTAATGCAATTTATATATCATATTAAATATGCGGTCGTCATTTAAAGGATAACCAAAAAATTAGGAGCATTCGTTTAAGAAAAATACAGTTCTTGCAGTGTTTTGCACCAATGGTAATATTTACAAACTTGTTTTTGATTTGATTTGTTACAATTGTTTTTAGTTTTTAATGATCATTGTTATTGTAAAGAAAATGTTGGCTCCTCAAAATATCCTATACATCGATGAAATATGTGAGCCTCGGCCATCGGCATTAAAAATTGAGTCAATACCATTAACATCGAACGAGAAGAATGTAGCTACCCCAACATTTTCAAGGATCAAAGCGTGTGTTAAATTATAAGAAGCCCGCCTACGGCTACGGCATAAAAAACAATCGGCAGGCCCACTCTTCGCTGATCGCATACAAATAATATACTCAGAAAATTTGACCTTGACGACGCCATTGGGGGGTCTTAGTCAGGGTCGGATTAGAGCGTATTTAAAGATTTTGTAATAAAATAAGGTATTGATAGGCAGGATCGTATTAAAACAAAAAAGCTTCACAGATTAATATTAATATTTTTAAAGTGAAATATATGAGCAGCCTTAAATATAACTTAGGACCGATTCCACCGTTGTGTTAAACGAAGTTTAAAATTACATTTTTACATTAACAATGTCATTTTAATCTCCGTTTAACACAACGGTGGAATCGACCCTTAATAACATACAGTTCATTAAATTTCTAGAGGCTTTCGACGGCTAGACAGAGAAAGCACTACTGACAGGCAACCCGACGGATTTACGCAATGAAAGTACACTCTGCGCATCAAGTATTTCACTATTTCATTCAGACGTAAATGTCAGATGTAAATTTCGCTAAAACATTTCTTTTATTTTCGTTTGTGTTTTTTGCTCATTACAGTTTAATAGAACCTAAGTATGGAGTTTAATAGCAAATTAAGAGGCCGCGTGATTAACAGTCAATCTCGCGAAATAATAGCCAATGTTATAGAGTTTATGAGAAGAGAAGGAAACTTTAATTCACCTTCAATACCATTTAAAAATGTAAATGATCGTGTTGCTGCAGCCACAGGAGTATCTAAAAACACTGTCGTCCCCATTTCTGGAGAGAAAAAAAGAATCGATAACCGTGAGATATCGGAATTTTTATCACCAAGAAAAACCATTAAAAAACCAAAAACAGTTAATGATATAGATGAAGCTGCACAAGAATCAAATTTTATTTTTTTATTATTAGATAGCTATTTTTGTTTGAGTTGTGTTCATTTACAGGCTCAATTTTTTTCCGTTTCTCCTTTTTGATTTTATATGGGGTTTCAAGTTGTTTTTGACTTATTTCGACGTAAATCACAACAACACACTTTTTTAATAAAGCAAACAAGTGTTAAGAGGTATATGTACGCGTAAACTACAATTACAAAAAATTGATATGAAACCCATGAAACCACCAACAAAAATGTAAAGCTAGCTTCCGTACTAGAACATGGTGTCATTCGTCGAGATAATTTATCGTTTTGTTTAATAGATCAAGAAATGTAAATATTCCCCTGTTATTTTTTATAAAATTATAAGAGAAATAAATTTTTTTCATAGTATAGTTTATTATTTTGTAGAAAAACAAAATTTCGAAAATTTTAGTAATGTTTCAGAAACAACCGTTATTAATAATAGGTACCATTTTCCTTAATAAGGTAGAAATAAAATATAAACTATTTCCACGATTTACAAAGGCCTACAAAAAAATTATAGGTATTTTCCGCTATCCTATAAAATTTATATTTTCTGACTCAATTTCAAAAGGTTGAAGGAATTCCAAAACACCTTTTATGGCATAATAATTATTTTCAATTCTACATACTATCTTTAGCTGCTTTTAAAAACGTTCTAAGAAAGTCCAATCAGACCAATTTAATCCCTAAACTATTCCACACTTTTAAAATTTAATTACCTAAAAATATTAAAAACTATTTAAAATAACTTGTTTAGCAGACTGTACAATAGCTATCTTAGTCACACGTAGCGCGTTCTCTGTCTGGGCGTCGAACACCTCTAGAAATTTGATGAACTGTATATTTATGGAAATCGGGGACAAGGAGCGTCAAATGTTATCTCGGAATTAATTAAATCTAAAAAAAAATTACAAACGCCGGATTTAGTGATAAATAATTCAAAATTGTGATGAAAAATTATTTTAATTTTTGTTATTAAACATACAAAACTATTATTTGACATTTTTAAATTGCCAAAAATATCTTTATTTGCTTTTTTTGTATGCTTTATAATAACAATACATGGAGCTTATATCCAAGTCTTCGTGTGTTAAGGCATATTGTGTACATACATCGCAACGTTGAATTTTAAGACATTTTTTTTATTAAAAATCCGCAAAATATTGAATAGCGGTTACTTACATTTCACTGTCTGGGTTATTTTCAGGATTTCTGCATTTGTCTAGTTTCTTGTCCAAAATTTTCTGTTGATTTCTATCTGGGACTGAATCAACCATTTTAACCATTGAACGAATTGCTGAAATAAGTTTAAATAAAAACAGAAGATATGACAAATGTTAATTTCACAACCCATTGGTTTATAATACTAGTTAAATCCTAATTAATTCACAATTAACAACATGTATTATTTGTTTTATAAAAAGATAAAATTTTAAATTTAATTAGACCTTTAAACTATTTTTTAAGCAGAAAGACTTTAATCGATAGCCAATTATTATTATTATTATGTCTCACTGTTTACAGAATATTAAAGGTACATTAACTAACCTCTGACAGCTTCAATCAATTCGCTTAACTTGTCTCTACCATCTTCTCCAAACAACGTGTCCGTTACATATGAATCTAAATTTTCTTGAAGCTTCGATGCGGCATGTAAAACTGCAGCTAAAGCTACTTGACTAGGAGAGTAAAGTAGTATTGTATCTGTTAACAAAGCTCTTTCTAAAAAGTGTTCTGTCCCTGACCTCAACCTTTCTGGATCATGTAGGTTAGTTCTCGACTGCAAAAAAATACATAATACAGGGTGTTAAAAAAAAAAAGTGTCACAAAATAAAACGGGGGGTAGTATGGGCCAAAATATGCAGAAAAGTCTTAATAAACATATGTCCGCAAATGAATGGTTTCAGAGATACGGAGGTGTCTTTTTTCATTCTCAAAAACTTGCTTTTCTTATCGGAGTCTACCGATGTTTTTTCATAGATACTATTTGCAGTTATTATTTTGTTGTGGGTGAATAATTTTATAAATTTTCGTTATGCCTGTTTACACTAATATTGAATTAGCTGACATGCATTTTATGTACGGTCGTTCAAATGGCAATGCGAGGGAAGCGCTACGTCAGTATATCGACGCTTTCCCTAATCGCCACATCCCTTCAGTTCGTGTGTTTGGAAGATTGCACCAAAGATTGCGTGATACAGGTAAATTTGGGAAACAGTCACATGATTCCGGGAGACCAAGGTCGGTGTCCACCCCTGAGGCAGAAGAAGCAATTTTAGCACGAGTAGAAGAGAATCCAGAAACTAGTGTGCGAAGAATATCAGCGGAGGTAGGAATTGGGGCTCCTCTGGTTTGGAGAATCCTCCACGAGCACAAGCTTTACCCGTACCATCTTCAACGAGTGCAAGCTCTGAATGCACCTGATTATCAAGCACGTTTGGAGTTTTGTCGATGGTTTCTGAGAAATGATGCTGAGGATCCCAATTTTATTGCACTAATTCTTTTTACTGATGAGGCAGGGTTTACACGAAATGGAGTTTTTAATTTCCATAATTTGCATATGTGGGCCGACGAAAATCCCCATAGTATCGTGGAATCCAGGCATCAAGTTCGTTTTTCATTAAACATTTGGATGGGTATTTATGGCGACTGGTTACTAGGTCCGATTGTACTACCTAACCGATTAACGGGAGCTGACTACTTAAACTTTTTGCAGAACACATTGGGTGATCTTTTAGATGACATTCCTTTAATACAAAGAAATCAAATGTGGTTCCAGCACGATGGTGCTCCGGCGCATTTTTCAGTTGCCGTAAGAGAACATTTAGACGGATCCTTTGGTCGAAGATGGATAGGAAGGGGCGGACCTGTGCCATGGCCTGCAAGATCGCCTGATTTAAATCCGCTTGACTTTTTTCTTTGGGGGACACTTAAAAAATTTAGTGTACGCCACTCCTGTGAATAACCTCGAAGAGCTGCAGCAACGAATAGAGCAGGGATGTCATCGAATCCTAGCCAATGAGGGTGTTTTGAAAAGAGTCCGACCGTCCTTTCGGAGGAGATGTCGTAGCTGCATTGAAATGGAGGGAGGGCACTTTGAACATCTCATTTAACTCTATGTTGTTATTGATTGTTTATAAATATCATTGTTTTTTTATAATAATAAAAAATTGTTATAAACACAAAATGGTCCGTATCTCCGAAACCGTTAATTTGCGGTCATATATTTATTAAGACTTTTCTGCTTATTTTGGGTCATACTATTCACCATTTCATTTTGTGACACTTTTTTTTTAACACCCTGTATATTTAAAACTATTTAAAATGATATCAGGTTGGTAGTTTGTAGACTAAATAAAACTCCTTGTTCTTAATATTTTGCTATTGTGTAATAGCTTCATTACAAGAACATGACATTAAACATTTTAATAATCAATAGAAAATAAAAAGCGAAGAAGGGAAACTAACCTCTCAAACGTGGTATAATGGACCTAATGCCAAATGGCTTTCGATCGAATCTGCTGAACTTTAAATATATTGCAGTTTTTGACCTCCTAATTAATAGTGTCCATAGGTACAAAGTTCTCCCATGACTATAGTCTAGAGAAGAGAAGTGCAGTAATTTTGAAGAATGTAGTACAGGTTCAAGAGGTAGACATTTTATTTATACCTCATCCTTTATTTCTTATTTGTAGTTCAAATGAAAATTGTAAGACATCTAATTGGCCTAATAAAAGTTTTGGTTTAGATTTAATCATGTTTCCATGGTTTTTACTGTAATAAACCTTTTCTTTTGGCAGATAAATCAGACTTTATTTATTCATTGCTGTATCATATGTATTAGTTTATTCGGAATTTTGTATTAGTATACTCGTATATTGTTACGCAGCACCCTGTGGCTATCATAGGAAACGTACAGATAGAAGAAGTGGAATGTTACTCATCGCTCTACAGTATGCTGCGGTCGTGATAAGTAAAAGTACAAGTAAAAGAAGACAGAATATTCCAGAAATGTCCAGAAATGTCATTACACGTCAAGAACATTCTAGAAAAAATAGCAGAGCTAAACCACAGTAATGTCATAATCTTCTCCGATTCACAAAGCGCCATAATGGCTATCACACAAAGATCATTTTCTTCATCATCAGACTCGACCATCCTAAAAATCAGAGATATGTACTTTCAATTATCTAATCAAAACAAAGACATACGTTTTGCATGGATTCCTAGCCACCAAGGCATCAAGGGCAACGAGAGAGCAGATGCCCTAGCTAATTTGGGGAGAAGCGTGGCCTGCTGGACACTACAAGGATGTCATCAACACAATCAAAGTACAGAGTTTCGAAGAATGGTGTGACTTGTTCGAAAAAATTGGAAAGTGCAAAGGAGTCGTATACGCCCAATTCACTAAAAAGCCTAAAAAGTCTCCTTGGTTTACAGAATACACCGACATATCTAGAAAAGAAATTTGTATTATATCGCGAATGAGAGCAAACCACTGCTTAACAAGGTCCTACCTAAATAGACTGAAGATGATTCCCAATGACTTGTGTGATTGTAGACAAATTCAGGACTTACAGCATATTTTTTTCTTATGTTCAATGAATCAACATAACAGAAGTTCTACACAAATCCTTGAAGATTCCAAAAAATATATACGGTCCCTTTTCAGTGTTCGATCTAGTTTTCAGTCTCTTAAACAGGGAAAACATTAAAATCATTTCCGGATTCCTAACAGCATCCAACATTAAACTCTAGTGCAAACTCAGTGCAACATAACCATCAATTGTGACTTGTGACATAAAAAAAAAGAAAAAACAATGTACTGTGACTGTATAATACAAAAGTGAACCCATAATCGGCGAGATCACCACCATCTAACCTAAAACCCTAGGCCGAATAGCCCTGGCAGCTGAGGCCTATAAAAAATGAAAAGAAGAAAGAAGAACATTCTAGATGACATTTTGAGAAGGTTCGAGAAGGTCAACAAGCTATATAAGTCGACGACCTGACGTCAGAGTTGGAGTTTTATGATAGACGTCACGGCATAAAAAACAATCGGCAGGCCCACTCTCCGCTGATCGCATACAAATATTATTCCATGGAGACTACACAAGGAGCACCCACTCAAGTGTGGCATTTGCCAGAGTATGTCCGCGCTTTATCGTATAAATAAAGCTTTCTTTTTTCACCACTAACGTCGCTAATTTTTCTTTTGTACCGGTGTGAATATAGAGGAATAAACAAATGTGAAAATAAAGTAACCGATTATTTAATTAACGTAAACACGTGTCAAATGTTTTTAAATTAAATAAATATAATTAGTTATAATTAATTAATTAATTATTAATTAATTAGAATTATTTATTTTATTTCAAACTACCGCCTCATTCTCTTATGCCATTTTGGTACTTATGGAACACTAGCGCTCTCTTAAAATACTCTGTTTAACACAGTACGCTTGTTATACATGGAGTGCGTGCTCCTTGTGTAGTCTCCATGTATTATACTAAAAAAATTTGCGCCAAATAATTAGCTTGTTTTTATTGATGGTCTTAAAATTTCTATTAATATTTTTAAAGTTAAATATAACTTAGGACCGATTCCACCGTTGTGTTAAACGAAGTTTAAAATTACATTTTTACATTAACAATGTCATTTTAATCTCCGTTTAACACAACGGTGGAATCGACCCTTAATAACATATATTTATGTTTAAACAAGGAGCGTCAAATGTTATCTCGGAATTAATTAAATCTAAAAAAAAATTACAAACGCCGGATTTAGTGATAAATAATTCAAAATTGTAATGAAAAATTATTTCAATTTTTGTTATTAAACATACAAAACTATTATTTGACATTTTTAAATTGCCATAATAACAATACCTGGAGCTTATATCCAAATCTTCGCGTGTTAAGGCATATTGTGTACATACATCGCAACGTTGAATTTTAAGACATTTTTTCATTAAAAATCCGCATATTATATAATAAAATTTTCTTAAAAAATATTAATATTTTGTGCATGCAATTCATTAATATGCTTGTTTATATTTACATTTTCGACAATATTGCCACCATTACACGCGGTTTTGGAAAATGGCTCATCCTTATTAGTCCTACGAATTTCATGTAGCCTTACAAGTAAAGCATCCCCACATGTTTCGCAGTTTTCAGTTCCAGAATGTAATAAATTTAAACATTGCAATTTTTTGAACGTCCTTTGAATTTGGACCGATGTAGGGTTTACACAGTTACCATAAGGATAATTATTAAGAGTTGCAGATTCCTCACAGAAATTTGGCAGCATGTTTACCTTCAGCGACATATGGAATAGTTTTGTGCAATTAATACTCAGTCGGTAATATAGAAAGATGTAATGCTATTTTAGCTTGAAAATTGGCGGGCTTTTGAATTTACTTCGACAAAATATAAGAATTTTACATTTTTAATAGCACTGCTTAAAACACATGATTTTGATTGTGACTCATTACTAATTTACTACTTATAATTTCTTTAATGGCTAATTAAGATTTTCTTGCTTTTTGTAATGAAAATACTTTAGCTTTATCAAGATTATAAAGCTTTGTTATACGCATATCTAGAATAATTATCAAAATGAATGTCAGAATTAAATTTTTGTTAAGCATTTCAATATTTGGGAATAACACAATTACGATTAATATTCATTTTTTTTTCAGAAAAAAAAATTATTCCATACAAAAAATTCTGCTTGTTGAAGAAAATTACAAGAAAAAGTTTCCTTTTAAAGTTATGA